CACCTGCTCTGTTGCCATACTAAAAAAATTGTGTCTCTGCTATTGCTATTAACTACTAGGTGTGCCCGGGTCACTCTGGTCACTCTGGCCACTCTGGTCACTCTGATCACCTTTACGATTTACCGTTATTGTTTCAAATTGTACCTTATGTTCCGGCTGTCAGTTGCGCTTCGTTTGTCCTGTGATTTGTATGAGAAATGATGCATTGAGATGCAAGTAGCTCGCTGCACAGCAAAGTCAGTGGATCAGGATCAAGGAATGTGTGTATAGGTGATTGCCGTCGTCTGCTCACCTTACATTCCTTTAATCTCCATTGCGTGTCGCTGTTCGGCTGTCCGTTTACTTGCGTCTCGGCGGCCCGATCTATTTGACAAAGAGATCCTTGAGCGTGGCGCACAGCGAAGCATCGCACGTGTCCTTCGAGTCGTCCTCGTCGCCCTTGCTGAACCAGTTGAGCGTGGAGCGCATGGCTCGTCCGGCCTGCGACTGGGCCGAGCTGGCGGCCGACGGCCGACTGCGTCGACCACCGCCAGAGCCACTGGAGCTGCTGCCACTGGCGCCGGAGTCCTTGGGTACGGCACCACGACTGCCACTGCCACTGGCACCGGCCGCTGCCGCGCGACCAGCCGCCGATGTGGATGCCCCGGCAGCATTCATGCCGCCGCCCATGCTCGCATTGGAGCTCTTGCGCAGAAAGCCCTCGATGGCCGTGCCCAGTATAGTGGCATCGACAATGTTCGCCTTGGTGGCATCGGCCCAGCTCTTCTTCTGCTTGCTGCGTGGCTTTAGCTTCGGCTTGCCGGAGTCGCCGCCAAGCGGATCCTTCTTCTGCAGCCGCTCGAGCATATCCTTGGAGAGGGCCATGGCGCTGCTCTTGCTGCGCACGCTCTTCTTGCGCGGCAGCGGCGTCGTCTGACGCTTGCCAAACCAGCCGGATATGGCGGCCGAGCTGTTGTCCTGCGCCTCGCTCACCAGCTGCTTGGCGTTGTTCAATATGGACACGTCGAAGCTGTTGGAGCGTGTCGAGCGGCCTGCATTCGGATCGAGCAGCATGCTGCTCGACGTCTGCCCACCACTGGGCGTGGGCGTGGCGCTAGTGGTGCGTCCGCGAGCCGCCTGCTGGAACGTATTGCTCAAAAAGGGGCTGGTGGCACTGTTGCCCGTGGCCCCCGACGAGCTGGAGGAGCCGCCGTCCGGATCAGGCCGGTGCGAATCGGGGCCCGAATAGCTCCCAGATCCGGTTATCGAACTGAATATGCCAGCGATGTCTGTGCGGCTGCCCAGCAAGCCCATGCCGCTGCCAGACTTCTTGCGTCGCGTCGATGCACGCGCCGACAACGGCTGCGGCGACACACTCGGTGCCTGTGGATGCTCTGAGGCACGCCGCATGATGCTGCCTCCAGCCGCGCCGGGCTGGGGACACTCGGAATAGCGGCGATTCGTGTAGCGTCGAGCTGGTGCCCCGGCGCCAACCTCATCCACCGTCTGCACCTCGCACACCTTCTCGTTGCTCGACGTCCAGAGCTTCAAGCGTGCCTTGCGCGACTGCAAATAGATGTCATCCATAATGTCCAGCTGCAGATTGTGTATGCTGCCAATAGGGTCTGTCGAAGGGGGTCCTGTATTGCTCTCCCGGCGTGAGTTCAATACGCGGCTGCTGCTGCAATGATCAATGGAAATGGTCATTAACTCGAGCTGGGTCTAGGTGAAGCTCAAGAGACTCTCACAGCAGAAGAATCAGCTCACAGACTTAGCTTACAGATCCCTCAAGGGCTGAGTGACTTACCCATTGCTTGATGGATAGGCGGCGACAGATTCGCGGCGAGAGCGTCCAAAGAGTGTGGTGGGCACCTTCGAGATGGTAACAACTGAGTGCCGACGGCCGGACGGAGCCGGCGCCTGTGAGAGTGTGGCCAAGAAGGCGGCCTCCTTGGGCGATGGGCCGGAGCCCTCGCCGCCGCGCTCGGATAGACGACGCACCTGACTGGCGGTGATGCCCTCGGTGACCTGCTGCGAGGGCAGCGAGTGTTTGCGAGCCTCGCGCGGATCCCGCCACGGTGATAGCAAGTAGGGATTCACGGGCGAATCAATGTCCAGACTGGCGCGATTCGAGAACGTTTCGGAGCTCTCCGGCTCCAGCTCCTCGGGCAAATTCGATTCCTCGACAACGATGAGCGGCTCCTGCTGTGTGATGTGTGCGGCATGTGCATGTGCCTGGGGATGTGGATGCGGCAAGCCGGGGCCATGGCCGGCCCCACCACCGAAGCGCACAAATGGCGAACCACGCAAGCGTAGCGCATCTAAAACACAAAGTGGAAGCAGTTAAATTGCAGATTGCTAGGTGATGCCGTCTCCCACATGGACGTTCATTAGTGTCGTGTCGTGTCGTGTCGTGTCGCCGTCAACATTAACGCTACTCCCTCTCGCTCACTTACCCATTTTCACAATTGCTCAATTGCTAGCCAGTTGGGAATACGCTCGTCCTGTGTGCGTGTCCTAGCTGCAAAGCGAAAGGAAACCACACATCAGATAAATATTCTATACAAATGTGATGAGCTGGTGTGTGTGCCTGTCTGTGTGTGTGTGTGTGTGTGTGGCAGGTTAAATAAAGCCAGCATGTTCATTATCCATGTGACGAGCATACGCTTTCGTTAGGGTATAGTAACTATGTCGTGCCCCAGAGAGCACTCCGACACAGTCGCCAATGCCTAAATATTTGGCTTTATTTTTTGGCTAAGACAAGAGCTCATATCTGGAAGTCAGTTGAGCCATTTGCTCGCACTGATTTCTATAGTGAGTAAAGCCTCAAATGGCAGCAGCAATCACTGCCTCAGCTGGCTTGGCTTGGTGCGCTCAACGACTACCTGGACAAGCAGAGCATTCAGTGTTCGTTGTAAGGCCCACAGGCGCTGTGACTTGTTACAAATTGCAAAAGGCAAGAAAATCATGCATCAAAGTAATTAAAGCTGTTGCGATGCTCTACACATTGCCATTGCCGCTGTCCTGGGAGTTGACATTTCGCTATTCAGCTAAAGCCAGCTCCCACTTGGCCAATAGAGCTGTGTGTGTGTGAGTCAATACAGTCGCCATAATGAGCATAAAATTATGCGAAAGTTGAAATGAAATTTCACCATTACTCAAGGCCCGCAAGACTTTGTATTTATGTGGCTGCGCGTCATGGACAACTGGTGTAACCCGGCCATTTTGATAACTCAGTCAGCTTAGCCTCTCGGCTTCGCAGCTTCGCAGCTTCTTAGCTGCCCAGCTGTGCGGAGCAATCCCCTGACCAGCCCTGTCCGCCAGTAATTACGGCCAAGAAGTTTTCGCTTTGACACAAGTTTTCAACGGCCCAAGCCGTGGCAATTTGGGCCAAGTCAGTTGGCAGCTGTAACTGGACTTAGTCGGGGCCACCGCAGCAGGTGTAAATATGACAACGCGTTTAAATAATTATAAAGTTTTTAGTATTATGGCCAAGCGAGTGAAAGAGAGCAAGATATTAACTTTAAGGCCAACACCAAATTAACTGCCTTCAGAATGCGATTGCGCAAGCAAAACTCAACATTCTAAATCAACTAACTTCGTTTGTCTTAGCGACAATTTTTATAATCAAAACTAATTAAGCAGCTGTGGGCGTGGCTGGCCGCCATTCCAGGCTGAATTTTCTTGTGCATGGAACATAAATCAGAAAGTTTTGCCCCACACTGCACAGCTCTTTAAGCCCTTTGATCAGCTTAACTAACATAAGTCTGGAATAATGGATTTTAAGCATTTGCTGAGGCTTTTTCTTCTAGACTCAAACAACTTTGAATTGGTAACATTGCTTCATTTGACAATCCATTTAACAGCTTATTATTGTCTCTTATTGAGCTCAGCTTGTTATTTTATTACAGATAAATTCATCAATGTGAGATTGAAATTATTATTCAAAATAATGGTTCTGTTCGCCCATGAGCCATTTAGTGTTCCAGATAGCGCCTTGACCACAATTACATGGCCAAAATCATACTCAAATATTAATGTCCTATAATAAGCTATACAAAAAAATTAGTTTTATTGGTATAAGAAATATATTTTTTTAGTTTATTATAACTAAAACCTATGTAACTTAAAAAAAAAAACAGCTAACATTATAATCTCGACTATAACGAATGGTTCTAGCGCCTCATCTGTTGGTGCGTTTGTTAAGTTGACTACATAGAGCTAGACAGCTGCTACTTAAAGTCTGCTCTATTCAATTTGTAAGTCTGAAAAACTTTGTTACTTAAAATACCAGAATAGCTGGCTACCGACTCAGCTTTGCTCCAATTTCTTATCCATATCGGAATTATATTGAATTAGTAGTCTAATTAGCTTTTCTCGCATCTCGAATCGGTTGGCCGATTTGCTCGACCTGCAGACCTAAATTGGCAATCAGCACAAAACTTTGCGTTCTGTGTTAAAGTTTAACTGAATTAGATGATTGACAAATGCTGCGAAACACGCCCACAACATCGGCAAGCACTGAATGGACAAACAAGCCCTGGCATGGCCATTGTTATGCTCTGCTCCATACACTTGACCAGTGCTTATATTCAAAACAACTAGCAGTGCTGCTGCTGCCAGTGACCGACTGACAGATGCCCTGCTCACTTAGATCCATTCCATTTTGATTAGTTTTCTATTGCGGCATCTGCTCTGATAATCAATTTCAATTCCAGCTTGAATTCCAATTTGAATACAGGTTAGACTTGAAATTCCAATAAGAATATCGACATTTTATCCACGTATGAACAATGCCTTGAGCTTCAAGTTTGTCCGAAAACATCGCCTACGTCTGCTGAGGTAACTTCAATATCTTATATATTCATATAATTAGATATCTATTTATCTATATAATTATATATCTATATGTCTTTATAATTATATATCTATATATCTAAATCTATTTTTTTCTGGCACGCCTCCTTTTCCCTGTTACAAACACAAAGACAAAGCCGTTATAGCCTATTAACCCATTTAGCGCAGCTTTCAGGGTATAAATATAGGGAAAATCTTCTATTTTTTTCCACTTTTTTTATTTGATTGGAAGCTTAGGCAGAGTGCGGGCGTGCTGTTTTTTATTGTGGGTCCGCTGAATGGCAAGTGCCAGACACATCAATTGCTTTGACCCAGTGATGTGTGTGTGTGTGTGTGTGTGCCCATGGGGGTTGTGTGACAGGCCGCTGTGAGCCTTATTAGATACACAGTGTCGAAAGAGTCCTTGCCGGTCTCAATGACCTCTGCTCTTCACTTTTCGCTTTTCGCTTTTCACATTTCAAATTTCACATTTCAGCTTCTGCAAGCTCCATTTGCATGCGTATTTGTTCGGCTGCGGCGTAGCGCATTGTTTGATTGCTTGATTGATTGATTGACTCGCTGACCAAATGTCAGACAAACCAATGTGAGTGATGTGAACAATGTGCACGATGTGACCAAATGACATATTGACCGCATGACAAATTGACAGATTGACAGCCCGTCGCTACTCCGACAGCAGTTGCATGTGCCCCAACAGATTCCATGTCATTCCGGTTGCGGACAGAACTCGACCCAGTTGCCCGCCCAGCTTTATTTAATGGACTTTGCAATAAGTTTGCACAGCAGCAGCAGCAGCAGCAGCAGCCACAGCCACATCGCATATGCATAAATATTGAATGTGGCAAGTGCACATCATTATGTTTGTTAATACATTATCATACTAAAAATCTTCAATCAATAACGAACAAACAAATATAGTTGTTACTCTGGGCTATATGCGACTGCATAATGCGCTTTGAGTTCCATAATTTATCACAAAAATATAAATCATTTGCAAACTATGTGTGTGATGCTGTTGAAGGATTTAATGCTGATACTATCTATAAGAGTCAATTAGCAGATATTGCCCTGTTCTTTTTAGATATATCTATATATATATATATATATATATATATATTTCTATATCTTTATATATTTGTATATTATTCCACAGACTCTTTATTAAGCTTTAAAGAGTAAGTAAATTCAGAAAAACAATGCATGGTATCATAGCCATCTCGCTCTCACTCAGCAATACTCGGGACTACGTTCAGCAACAGCTATCTTTGTCTCTTTCTCGCACACATTAGAGGAGCCAGAGCCAGTGAGCAGTGTGTAGCGAAGACACAAACTCACTCGGATAATACTTTTACAACAGTTCCCTTACAAGCTCCCAGCCTCACACTAATACTACTGCAACAGTAGGGGGCAATCTGCCATTCTGCTATGCATTTCACAGTCTCGCGTTATATTATATAAGACATATATATCAAATCACTAGACTCTAAACTCTGAGTATCGATACACTTTCATAGAGTAGCTCAGCAGTTGCCCACAAGCTCCAGCTTGTAGTGTTATGTTGCTGATTGCTTATTTTAACCAACTTATCAGACATTTAAGTGCCTCGAGACAGGGTTATCTAGACGCGTTTATGTAAGTGAAACTCCAAGTTGATTGCTTTAATAGCGACTTGAAAGCAGGAAAGCTTAAGAAGATGCTATGCGGATGCATGTATTATAATATAGATATGTTTATATAAGTATATATATATAGTAGATTGCATTTCATATGGGGTCGAAATATATTCCCTGCAAATGCACATCGAATATTTTAAGCCAAGTGAAGCATTCGACACATCTCAACTAAATGCTTGGCACAGTTTGTTGAGCACAGCGAAAATAAAATATAAATACAAATAAAAAAATATATGAATATATAAATATATAAAAAGAAAAATATACACAAATATACAAAATAAAGGAGCTGCTCACTGAATAAAGAATAAGTAAACATTAGGCTCTTAGCACTTTGCTCGTTATCCTTTGCCCTCAGCTCTGTGGAGGGGCAGCGGCGGCTGCTTACAGAGAAAGAAATCTATAGTTTGCATCAATTCTGATGAAAAACTCAAGCAGTCGCCATCAAACGAATTTCCTTTGAATTAATAATGAACAGCAAAATGAAAGGAGCTGCACATTGACATTTAAGCACACAGACACACACCGAGACCCAAGCATTGTGCCCCTCATTGACTTAACTTCAGTCCATAATTATAATTATTACTGAGATGTTGCATTGGCAATTATCGAAGATGCAGCTGCTTAAGCCGAGCAAAGCTCTTCTTTTGACTGCAGCGAGCAGGTTCAGTCAGAAGTGTAAAATGCATGAAGTTGTTCATGATTGATGGACTTCAATACAGGTAAATGATACAGTAAGAAGTCGAGGTCAGGGTCGAGTTAAATGCAGCATGACATATAGTAGATAGTAATATACATGTATCTATATATATTCTTAGTATATGCGCCATATAATTTAATTGTTACCAACTTTTTGTGCATTTCCCAAAATTGAGCTGCTTTAAGAAAAAAATACTTTTGTAGTCTTATCTTTGGTAGAAAAATCAAAACTTAAAGCTAATTTTGATTCGCGCTATAAAAGCTGACAGACATAGGAAAACTGTGGTTTCTT